AAGAGTCTGGGCGCAAGGAGAGAATAGCTCTCGAAGATTGCAGCAACAAAGAACGAGTGTCCGACGCACGTTCAAAAGTCTCTTGTGGATGTGAAACTTCTTTTTCAGAACAAACGGTGAGAATGGCTGGGGATTGACATGTCGCAGTTGGCCGCAATCCATTTCCGCGACAGGTGGCATCAAATTCATTGGCCTTATACCCAGTATATAGATAGAACATGGCATGCATGCTTGCTCGTGCCTAGCTTAAGCCATCCTTCTTTTTACCTCAGAGCTTTCCTTCTAGGCCCAGCATTTGCTGGGCTTCAAGTTTGCCTATAGACTTGGTCTGTAGGCTTCTGGTGAACAAAAAAATTGTTGTTGATCTTCAACAACCTGTTCTTCTTCCCACGCGTCTGGTGCACCCACAAGTTCATGGCCGGGAGCACGGTGCGGTGGGCGACGATAAACAGTCATCCCCATGCCTGGGACGCTCCTTTACTCTTCCACCTGGGATGCAAGGAACTCACCGTCAGCTGTGACCGGAACAAGAACAGGATTATAAAACTGGCAGTACTATTACAAGCGTAAAAGGCAATGAAAACTGGTAGGTTGGCAACCTATCTTAAACCACTGTCATCTACCTTATCAAAGGACCTGAAGCGCATTCTCCACCTCATAGGCGAGCATTAACTGCATTCTGAGGGCTTTTGGTGCCAGTAGGTTCACAACCTACGGCATTTTCTGTCAGTGTCATCCTTTTCATCGCCCTGCAGCGCAACCTACCACCTCATAAGCCAGCAACATGTGCATGTTGCTGAAGCACAACATACCAACTCATAAAACTGCAATATGTGCATTCTGAAGGAAATGGAAGCCAGTGGGTTGGCAGCCTACAGCATCTTAAATTCAACTCTTAAACTTAAACCAATGTCATCTATGTCTAATATACCTTGTCAAAGGCCCTGAAGCGCAAGCGACCCACCACCTCACAAGCCAGTACTATGTGCATTCTGCAGGTTATGGAAACCAGTAGGTTGGCAACCTACAGCATCTTAGAATCTTAGACCAGTTTCATCTATATACCTTGTCAAGGGCCTTGAAGCCTACCACCTCACAAACCAGTACTATGTGCATTATGGAGACAATGGAAACCAGCGGGTTGGCCATCTACAGCGTCTTATATCACCATCGTCTACTTTATCAAAGGCCATAAGCGAGAGTGTTGGCAAGGTCGGCAACCTCATAAACCAGAGCATCCTCAAGCTGTGCATCCTTAAGGGCTTGAAAAGGGGGTGGCAATTGACAACTTCGCGACAAACCAAACTCAGCATCAACCCAATGGCCAGTAGCCAGCCCTACTGGACTCATTACAGCTCCAATTGATTGCAAGGGATCAGGAAAGTCAAACTTAGCATATTGTTGACAGAGAACATCGCACTACGAGCCCTAACCCTACCATCAACAGTGGGGCAATCCCATGTCCCGATCTGTCCCATGGATTGCTATCAGTATCTATAGTTGTTCTGCCCCTACTTTAGGAAGAATGTCCTCGTGTTCCATCTTCATCCTGACACGAGCATTCAACCAGCATTCAACCTGGCGATCCTTCTTCGCCTCTTTCTTCCTGGCGTCCATGACTTCATGCCCGGACCGCTCCTCAGTCCTCCTCGTCCCCCGCCACGGCTCGCCTCACTACCGGGGCGTCATCCAGAAATTGCCCAGTCGGGAAGCCTCGGCCAGAGTAGCCCGGGCATGCTATGTGAGCTGTTGATCGAAACCAATACGCATTTGGTTGAGAGCTTTGGACTCAGCTTCAGGCAGGCTTCAGCTGGGCTTCAAAATCATCCAGATGTGCACACACTGCCCCTAAGAAGTCACCACATCCGACAAACAAAAACATGACATGCAGGATACTCGATTGCATGACTCGCGCTCAGAAAGCGCCCTTGCGAGTTCAAAACGACACGCACCTGTTGTAGGTTGCATATCTGGCATACTGACCTCTGTGCAATTCAGGAACAAAGCGCATCTTGGATAGCAACATAAATCTCATACAAACCTACACAAACCGTTTACAAATCCACGTTTTGACTCCTTGTGCGTTTTTCATCCAAATGTCTGAGCCCTTCGCCGCTTGCTGTGTTTGTGGAAGGCTCAGCGTCAGCGGCCTGATCTCGTTTTGTCCGCTGGTCTTGGCAACACCAGACGTCCCGGGATCCCTGGGATGGACGAAGGGCTGCAAGGGCTGAAGAACCGAGATCCGGGCCCAGGTCCAGCTCCAGTGAAGTAGTCATCGCGCAGAGAGATCTTCACATTGATGGTGGGCCTAGTAGAACAGAGAGTTGGAGACCAGACATGTCTGTTTGCTGCGAAGGCCGGCTGCCAGCTACGTCTCATGGCCTGCAGGTGGAATTGTACTGCTTGTGCTCCTCACGCATGCCGGTGTCCGACACCCACTTCTTCTGCATCTCCAGCCTACAAGGAGGACGATCGTGTGGCGAGTTCCAGCGCGACGCCGCCCAGCCGAAAGAGCGCTCCGGTAGCATCGCGCCTACCCTCGAAGCCGTTGGGGAAGATATCAGCACTGGGGACCTGCCGAGCAAAGCAGAGTTCGAAGCCACCACACACAGGACCGATGTAGGCGGATGTGTGTATATGGATACACACAAATTATGTGTATATATATATATACACATAAAGTAAAACTAGCAAATGGCCCGAGAGCGTTTAGTTGTAGAGTTGCTCTGGTGTAAGGTATGCTTGCATTACGATGAAACAGTAAAGTAAAGAAAGTTATGAGATGGTTTCGAGAGAACGTGAAAGAGAGGAAGAGAAAAGGATGAGATGAAAAGGATGTTTAGAGGAGGAGGGGAGCAAGGATGTCTTCCAGTCGCTTGATACAAAGCAGGTTTGTATGCGTTTTGATGAATACAAGCCATGCGTGGGCTCAGGTCCCGCCCAAAGGTGTCCCCAAGGCGATGGGCCTATGCAGTGCAATCCAGAGGACGTGCAGAAGCAAGGGACACTCAGACAACCCACTCAAGGACACTCAAGGGCACTCGCGAATGCTCTAGAGTGTCCTTGCGTGTCCCTGACTGGTCTATTGATTGTTCTTCCGTCATTTCAGTTTAATCATTGTGGTTCTTCTTAAGTCTTCCCTCTTCTCTTCTCGTCTCTTCTCTTCACTTCAATTCACTTCTCTTCTATTCTCTTTGTTCCTCTTGCTAGGTCTACCCCATCTATGAAACATGTATTTTTCTTAAGCCCTCCTTCTCTCATTAATATACTTTGTCGTCAGCCTTTCTTATTTGTCTGCCTCTTTCTTCTTGATTCAGGCTGCCTCATCTTATTGACCGTAGCCCTTTCCTTCAGAGGCATCTCTCCTATTGACCAGTAATTATGTCTACTCTTGAGGCGCCTTCTTTAACTATTATGTTCTCTTCTTGTCAACCATGTGGTTTCTTCTTCTTCTTCTTCTTCTTCTTCTTCTTCTTCTTCTTCTTCTTCTTCTTCTTCTTCTTCTGTGTGTCAATGTTTCTTTTGCTTCTTCTTGAAACTTGCAGCTTCCTTCTCATATTGACCCGTTTGTTTCTTGTGCTGCTTTCTTCTTTCTGTTCTTGTGTTTCTTCTTGAAGAATCCTTCTCTTACAAAGGCCTTCCTCTTCTTATTAACCCTTCTTTTTCCTCTGGAATGGTGCACAGGCTGAGTAGTTCTTTCACATCTGCACATCTGTCGGTCTTCCTTTCTTTCTTTCTATCTTTCTTTCTTTCTGTCCGTCTTCCTTTCTTTCTTTCTGTCTTTTTGTCTTTCTGTTATTTCTTTTGTTCCTTC